GCTTTTTGAATCCTAATTGCGGAAGAGGCAGCCTCCCCTGTCTGCGACGAGAGCTCGGCACAGCCAGCAGAGGGGCTGACTGGGGGGAAGGGAGGGAGGGAGACTATTTTTGGCACCAGCAAAAATATCTGAGGAGGCATCTTGCAGCGTTATCCATCTGCAGGGCCAGGGCTTTTTGCATCACAACAGGATGCTTGTCGTAATCCCCACTTGCGTGTGCGCGCATGTGTATATATATACACACCCCGTGGTGTGTACACCATACACACACAGGGACACAGCGTGCACATGGGGGTGCACACCCCACCGGCCTCACGCAGACTGTGTGGGTGCCCTACCACGTGCTCCCACAGCCCCTGCAGGTCGCAGCCTGGGCCCCGGGGCCGTGGCACATCTCCCCGGTTCGTCTACTGCTGTACCAGCACTGTACCCACCAGCCAGGGCTCCTGCCACCCTGCCCTGCAGCCTGGTGGGCAGGATTTGCCCTGGTGCACAGCCTGCCCCGAGCACTGTGCAGGGTGCTGGTGCAGCACCCTCCCTGGGGATGCACCATGCCCGCAGAGCCGGTTCCATGGCAAGAGCGGCGGCATTCATCCTGTGCCGAACCTCGTGCCCTGGTGACATTGGACGCCCTGGGCCAAGGATCAAATTCCCCTCCAGCCAGAGCATCACGCAGGCTCTCAGGGCAAGGCTGAGCCAGGTGAGAGGAGTGGAGCCCTGGCGGGATGGCATCACTCAGAGCCAGCTCCCTGACCTCAGCTGTCCCCTCTGCAGTGGTGACCTTCTGCCGTGGGCAGAGGTTGCCACAGGCCCGGTTGGCACTGTGAAGGCAGGCAGGGCCAGGGCTGGCTGCAGGCCAGAGACGTCAGCTGCTCAGGACGGGACTGCGGAGAGCTGCTGGCGATTTTGTGGGTGGCTCTGGCCTTCTGACCCTATGTTCACCCAGGGTGGTTAATGGGGCGGCACAGCTCCGGTCCTGCCCCCCACCAGCCTGCCCTTCCTGGGAGCCAGCACAGCCCTGCGTGCAGCCAGTGTCCCGGGAGGCACGGCCACTCACTGCAGCCCCACGCACCTCCTTTTGGTCTGTGGGACAGTAAACTGCGGCGCAAAGTGATGGTGTGGGTAAGAACAAATGTGGACACCCTCGCCTCCCGGCTGCAAACTCCTCTGGATGATGGTTCATGTGGTGTAGAGGCAGGAGTCAGCTGGGGCAGAAGGGATGGGAGGAGGCACTGAGCCAGCCCTGCCATGCCTTGACTCTGGCGGGAGCAAGTGCTGCTGACACTGCCCTCAGGGCTGGGTAATGGGGCAGAACCGATGGCAGCGCCAGGGCTGCAACATGCGCTTGTTTCCGGCACCTGGTACAACCGCAGGCTCCCAAGTCTGTTTTATGATCGGTACATTTGCTTCCCGGCTTGGGAAAGGGAGGAAAAAAAGCACAGGAGTGGAAAATGGCAGGTGTGCCCATTAAAGCACCAAGGAAACCTAAGCCGGTGTCACCGATCCAGCCTCCCCACCTGCCCCAGCACCCTGTGCCAGCTGCCGAGCCCTGCTCACCTTTGCCATCCGTCAGCTCTGACTGGAAAGCCCCCGGCTGCTTTCTCATGCAGGCCACAAGTGAGTAAGGAAGCCTCATGGCAGCAGGCTGGCACACACATCGGAGCCGTGTGTGGGCACCTGGGGGTGGGGACCCCTGCCCTAGCAGAGGTGGTGAGGGCTTTAGTGAGTGCCCGTGGCTGGTGGCAGCTGCTGGGTCCCCCCTTGGTCACCCCACCAGGGCCTGGCGTGGGAGGGGGAGGCAGGAATTCCCTTCCGCAGCACCGCTCCTCCGCTCCTCCACTCGTCCAGGCCCCTCAACCTGCTCTCTCACACCAGGGCTGGGGGCCAGAGACCAGGCAGGTGAGCCACAGGGGGTCCCACACCAGGGTAGGGTACTGCTGGTGCTGCATGTAGTGCAGCTGGTTCTGGGGTGGAAGATGCTGGGGAAGGGGCAGGCAAGACGCTGGCAGCGGGCTGCAATGTTGCGCACCCTCTATTGCCCCTGCTCCTGCACCAGGGAGAGGGAAGAGGGGAGCCAGCCCTGCCAGGAATGGGACGGGCGGCTCCAGAGGGCCAGGGGGGAGACCTTTCCCGCTGATCCCCAGCTGTGGGCCCATGGTGGACAAGAATGGCCACCTCTCCTCCCTACGCCATGCCTCCTGCTGTGCCTCCCCAGCCCAAGGGCTTGGGCCAGACCTCCAGGTTGCTCCTACAGCCCTTTTCTCAGGCCTTTGGGCACAGGGAGGGATGTGGGGGCACTGTCTGGAAAGTGACACAGCTTCCTCTCCTGCTCGCGGGGAAGAAGAAAAGAATCCCCCAGTCCTTATCCTCCCAGTTTGGTGGATGACAGTGGGACAGAGTGGCAGACCAGCCTCCACCATGGGTGAATGAAGGCTGACTCGAAAAGAGAGCGGGAGACAATGCGGGCAGAGCCTAACCAGATCTTGGAAGGAAATCTGAGTGGAAAATTACCAGGCTGCTCCCCTGCGCACCCGAGCCGGGCTGCATGTGTGATGCCTGCTCCCGGCCCGGGCTGAGACTCTGGGGATGGTGCAGCACCGATTGATACCTGGGGCACCGAGTGCCTGCCACCACGTGCGATGCTGTACAGAGCAGCCGCTGCCATGCAGAAACTGCTGCTTCCCTGGATGCCACAGCCCATGCTGGGCGCTGGGGCACAGGGCCCCAAGATGGCAGCAACAGACAGTGCCAGGGATCAGGCATCACAGGGCGCCAGTGAAAAACCTGACCGGCAGCTGGGCACGCAGTCACTGTGCCAGAGCTAGCACCAGCCAAACCAGCCTTCCCAGCTGGGTGTCTCCAGCAAGGCGAGAGCCCAGCCCAGTTATGTCACCTTCTCTAGCTGGGACGAGGCAGCAGGAAGCCCTCTTCAGCCCCAAACTGGGCTGGGAGGGAGCAGAGGGCAGGGCGGGTGGGCACAGTCAGCTGTGTGGGGACGCTGCTCACAGCGTGCACCCATGCAGGTTTGCACGCACGGGGGTGTGCGCCATCACCCGCTGTCACGCACCCACGCAGAAAGGTGCAGCGCACACCCTCCTGCCAGCACACGGGCACCCTTAGCCCCAAGGCACCTGCGGAGAGTGCAGGCAGTGCTGCAGGCAGCGAGGAGCACAGCCCCTCAGAGGACACCCGCCTGCCCGCACAGGGCTGTCTCAGCAGCTCTGGCCCAGGACTGCTGCGCCAGCAAGGGCGGCTCAAAAGGTCAGCAGCAGCCCTGTGTGGCACCAGAAGCCGAGGGACGGAGCAACACGCTGAGATTCCCAGGGAGAGCGCACAAGGTCCCTCGGGCTCCCTGACTCAGCACGAGCAGGCATGGACCACGTAGCCCACCGCAGCACAGCTTTGTCCCCCACCCCCAGCAGGTGCCACGTACCGTGGGGTCCCGGGCGGGCATGTCGCAGTAGCCATCATTCCTCTCGCAGGGCTGGCTGGTGCAGCGGGTGCCCAAGGGCAGCAGGGCAGAGCCAAGGGCGGCCTGTGAGGGGCTGAGGGGGCCACTGGGGAGGCTGCCATGGCTGCTTTTCCTCCCATAGCTCTGCAAGTAGCCACGGACGTAGTCGGAGCGCGCGGCAGCCTGGTAAAGACCCTGCAGGGCGCCGAGCTCCTGGTGGCCCCGGATGCCAAGGGGGCTGGGGCTGAGTGCGTAGGCGCTGTCTGAGGTGTGCAGACCTGAAAACTCCCGTGCCAGGTCCGAGTGGCTGATGGATTTGCGGCGGCTGAGAGGCGCTGTTGTGGGCAGGTAGCCTGGGGGGCTGCTGAGGGCCCCCGCGAAGGTGTAGCACGAACCCCCGCTCAGCCCACCGCCGGGTGGCCGGGGCTGGGTGCGAATGTACGTGGGGCTCAGGTGGATGCTGGAGTCGGGGTACAGAGGCAGCCGGCTGCTGTCATAGCCACTGGTTGGGGACAGACCCGTGTGCTGGTACCGGGGGGAGGCCAGGTAGCTGGCTTTGAAGCCGATTTTGTCGCTGTCTGCATAGGATGTAGCCAAGGTGGATCCATATGAGGTGTAGGAGCTGTAGCCGCTGGGGACCTTGCTGTAGGTGGTCTCAGCATAGCGGGATGAGTCGACGTACCGCTTCAGGGTGGAGGAGAGCTGGGACATGCTGGAGGCTGGGGCTCAGCGGGCTCTCCTGGAGGCATCGACTACAAGAGAAGAGGCAAGGGGTCAGCTTCCACAGGCCATGGTCAGCACAATGGGGCGCCCACTACCAGCCTGTAGCCGCTGGGGACCTTGCTGTAGGTGGTCTCAGCATAGCGGGATGAGTCGACGTACCGCTTCAGGGTGGAGGAGAGCTGGGACATGCTGGAGGCTGGGGCTCAGCGGGCTCTCCTGGAGGCATCGACTACAAGAGAAGAGGCAAGGGGTCAGCTTCCACAGGCCATGGTCAGCACAATGGGGCGCCCACTCCCAGCACCCACCCAGTGGCTCACTGGCTCCTGCCTTGCCTGGAAACTCTGGGAGGGGAGGGCAGGCAACAGCGGGAACCCAGGGGATGGATGAAGGGTGCAGGGAGGGCTGTGGGGTACAGTGTGGCCACGGCTCCTGCCAACTACCAGCCTGGAGACGGCAGGGCCCAGCTGGCACTGCCATCTGTGTATCTTTGGGCACCTTGCACCACAGAAGGCAGCCCTGGGGCACAGCCAGAGGCGCCCAGCATCCTGGTGCCCACAGCCACTGAAGCCAAGGGACTGCAGCAGTCACCTCTGCCCCAGCCCTGGCATCCCTGCCACACCATCCCGTGGGCTGTCCCACTCTTGGGGCTGGAGAGGTGTCCCCAATGCCTCCTCCAGATGGGAGGCAGTTGCCTGGTTACAGTCATGATGCTTGGGCTCAACTCTGGCTGAGATAGGCAGGCGGGATGGACTGATCCAGACAGCCCAGCACCTTCCCCTGGTTATTCAGAGCGAGTGTCAGGGCTTGGCAGGGTGCTGGCCTTTCCAGCTCGCTGCTAACAGCCCCCTCTGTTTGGCTGAGAGGGAAACTGAGGCAAGGTCAGGAAGTGAGCACAGGAGTCCTTGCCGTCTGTCCCTGCTCCCCACTTGGTGCCTGGCACCAGGCAGTAGGTGAAGACCTCGATGCAGCCATGACCACCCAGGGGCTTTGGGGGACTGTGGGTATAGCCACGGATCCCCTCATTGCAGGGACCTGGCCACCCAAGCAGTCTGCCCGTCCCCCTGCCATGGCTGCCCCCTGCTAGCCTCCCACCAGTTATTCAAGCCAATGTGAGTCCTCCCAGTGAGGCGGCTGCTGTGTCCCCACCAGCAGCCTGTATGTGTGGGCGACAGCCCAGCACTTGGTCCCTACATGGAGCTGGTAGCTTCTGCCCCATACCATCTGCATGGAGCAGGAGAGAAGCATAGGGGGACAGGGACAGAGGTGCCCAGAGCACAGGCAGAACCAGCCCGGAGCTGGGAAAGCACAGTGTGGCAGGCAG